TATTATTAAAATTTTAGAACATATTCTAAGTTCTCCAGGGGCCACTAGATGAAACTCCACTTTTGATGGAGTTTCGCAGATACTTCAAACAATATTGTTCTGAAGCTATTTTCTTGTGGCATTGTAAATTAATTACTATTTAACTGGGAATAAGCCACAATTAAAGATAAAAATACGTTTATTGACGTTTCAATTTCCACTTCGGAAATAGTTCTCAAAATACAAACAGTAAATATTTTTTGTTGAACAAGATATTGTAAGTATTGAAGATTTGCTTTTCAATGTGATATCAAATTCTGATTTTGATCAAATTATTTTTAGTTTATATATAGTATATGAAAATTCATATAGAAAACAAAGAAATATACATTTAAATAAATTTAAATATTCTTTTAAAACAAAACAGTATACACACTTTAGATAACATCAATAGAAATGATGACATATTAGCGACAGTTGTCAATCTATCAAATAGACATTTAAATGCAACGGAGACTTTAATACTGTCAAAGGGTCTAAACTTTGCTATTACTCAGAGATCCGTTCCAAAATTAGACATAATAAGCTCAGTGGAGAAAATATCTCAATGCTTTATAACCCACGAAAAGGAAGAATACAGAGTGTTCTGTAAACTTGAATTGGAAAAATCTACTAAAATTGAACAAAACATAAGCAAAGAGGAACTAAAGGCTATAAGAACTTTAAAAAATGACGACTCCATAATCATCCTACCAGCAGACAAGGGGAATGCAACTGTGATAATGGATAAAATTCAATACGAAAATAAAATTAAAGATCTATTAATAAACGGACCTTATACAAAATTAACAAAAGATCCAAAAAAGCCTTTGGAAAACAAAATATATAGAACTTTATTAAAGTTTAAAGATGTTTTAACAAGTTATCAGAGAGGATTAATTACACCTCATTACAGTAAGACTCCTCATTTTTATGGAGTACCAAAAGTTCATAAAACGAATATACCACTTAGACCCATTTGTAGTACCATGAAGTCTCCTTGTAGTGAACTATCAAAATATTTTTATTAAATATTTTAAATTTTTACCATTTACAAATAAAAATGACACATTCATAAAAAATACACAACATTTTTTAAATAAATTATCAAATATTGAATTTAATTCAAATAATACTTTGGTAAGTTTTGATTTAAATAGTTTATTTTCGAATGTTCCATTAAATAAGACTTTAAGTATAGTCAAGACAAAATCAGAGAGTGATGATTCATTGGCAACTAGAACAAGACTAAACATAAACATATCGGCTATAATGGAGTTATAACATTATGTACTGATAATACATATGTTCAACTAAATAATGAATTCTATAAACAAAATTTTGGTCTAGCAATGGGCTCTAGTTTATCTCCATTCTTAACCGATATATTTATGGAGGATTTTGAAACAAATATTTCTAAACAAAATTTCAAACCCACAGTATGGTGGAGGTATGTAGATGATGTATTCTCAATATGGCCTCATGGATCAGAGTTGTTGGACACATTCTCAACTTAAACTTGAGAATATCCGTCAGAAAAAAATCATAGCATGTAATTCGTCTTTAAAAAGACAAACACATGACATGATGACAGTAAAATTCTCCTGGTAGTGATTCCATAGTAAATTATGAGGGAAAAACCAGGAAAAAAACCTCATAATACTATCCCGACATTGTAAGTATTTGTTCGTGAATTTAGTTTACCTTCAACAAACATCAAAATTCTGATTTTATATGTTACGTTATTTAAAAAACATAAATGATGTATCCTCTATATGTTACTGACTTACTAATACTGGTATTTTCTTATTAATAACTTCCTCATTCAATATTGGTAACCATATCCTACTACATTCTGCCGAAGAATTTGCGACACAATTGGCCTCATTTAGCATAATTAGAGCCGCTTCTTTGATTTTTCTTTTTTTACCATCCGTTTCTTTTAGGACTACATTTGAATTATTCTATTGAACCCTATGTTCATTATCCCATGCGTGTTTACATATTTGAGATCTATCAAATTCTCTATTTTTAATATAAGATTGATGTTCACTTATTCTAACATTTAATGGCCTTGATGATTCACCTAAATAAAACTGATCGCATTCACAAGGTATTTTATAAATGTAATTCTTTGTCCTTTCTTGTTCATTGTTAGGTTTGGTTTTGGACAAAATAGATCTCAACGTGTTTGTTGTTTTGAATGTTGTTGAAATGTTGAATTTATTTCCTATCCTTTTAAGTTTTTTCTGATAATCCTTTTATGTACGGTATTGTTATTTTCCTCATATTATTCCTTGTGTATGCTGTAGGATCTCGTTCTAAGTTGTTCTGTTCTATTCGATCGATTGTTGAAAATTCGTTATTTATAAACGATAAAGGATAATCATTTTTTAATAAAACAGATGTTAACATTTTGGCTCTATCGTATAAGGATTTAATTATCCCCTTTTTTACATTAATATTGTGATTTGATTTGAAATTTAAATATCTATTGGTGTGTGTTGGTTTTGTATACACCTGAGTCTCATATCCAGTATCGTTCTTAGAGATTAAAACATCCAGGAAAGGTAGCGTGTTATTATATTCCTTTTTCATGGTAAATGTTATTGCCTCTTCTTTATCGTTTATATCATTTAGGAATGTGTCCAACAACTCTGATCCATGAGGCCATATTGAGAATACATCATCTACATACCTCCACCATACTGTGGGTTTGAAATTTTGTTTAGAAATGATATTTGTTTCAAAATCCTCCATAAATATATCGGCTAAGAATGGAGATAAACTAGAGCCCATTGCTAGACCAAAATTTTGTTTATAGAATTCATTATTTAGTTGAACATATGTATTATCAGTACATAATGTAAATAACTCCATTATGGCCGATATGTTTAGTATTGTTCTAGTTGCCAATGAATCATCACTCTCTAATTTTGTCTTCACTATATTTAAAGTCTTATTTAATGGCACACTCGTAAATAAACTAAGTCAAAACTTACCAAAGTATTATTTGAATTAAATTCAATATTTGATAATTTATTTAAAAATGTTGTGTATTTTTTATGAATGTGTCATTTTTATTTGTAAATGGTTTTAAAATATTTAATAAAAATTTTGATAGTTCACTACAAGGAGAATTCATGGTACTACAAATGGGTCTAAGTGGTATATTCGTTTTATGAATTTTTGGTACTCCATAAAAATGAGGAGTCTTACTGTAATGAGGTGTAATTAATCCTCTCTGATAACTTGTTAAAACATATTTAAACTTTAATAAAGTTCTATATATTTTGTTTTCCAAAGGCTTCGTTGGATCTTTTGTTAATTTTGTATAAGGTCCGTTTATTAATTGATCTTTAATTTTATTTTCGTATTGAATTTAATCCATTATCACAGTTGCATTCCTCTTGTCTGCTGGTAGGATGATTATGGAGTCGTCATTTTTTAAAGTTCTTATAGCCTTTAGTTCCTCTTTGCTTATGTTTTGTTCAATTTTAGTAGATTTTTCCAATTCAAGTTTACACAACACTCTGTATTCTTCCTTTTCGTGGGTTGGTAAGCATTGAGATATTTTCTCCACTGAGCTTATTATGTCTAATTTTGGAACGGATGGCTAAGTAATAGCAAAGTTTAGACCCTTTGACAGTATTAAATTCTCCGTTGCATTTAAATGTCTATTTGATAGATTGACAACTGTCGCTAATATGTCATCATTTCTATTGAGGTTATCTAAAGGGTGTATACTGTTTTGTTCTAAAAGAATATTAAATTTATTTAAATGTATATTTCTTTGTTTTCTATATAAATTTTCATATAAAAACTAAATTCACGAACAAATACTTACAATGTCGGGATAGTATTATGAGGTTTTTTTTCTGGTTTTTCCCTCATAATTTACTATGGAATCACTAACAGGAGAATTTTACTGTCATCATGTCATGTGTTTGTCTTTTTAAAGACGAATTACATGCTATGATTTTTTTCTGACGGATATTCTCAAGTTAAAGTTGATTTCATGTAATCGAATGAACTATCTTATAAGTAAAGTCGTCCCAGGAGCGCAACTCAACAATATTGGCAATATCATTTTAAAGTCGTCTACTTTAAAATGCATAATGTATGTCTGAATTGTCAATATAAATGAGTCAGATAAAATTCAATTATTAGAAGAATTTTTCACTATGTAACAACAAACAAAACTTGTTTAATTTACTGTTTGTATTTTGAGAACGATTTCCAAAGTGGAATTAAAACGTCAAATAACGTATTTTTATCTTTAATTGTGGCTTATTCCCAGTTAAATAGTAATTAGTTTACAATGGCACAAGAAAATAGCTTCAGAACAATATCAATAGTATTTTCATCAATTATCTTCAATAGTTTAATTGGTATACTATCGGGTCCTGAAGCTTTTCTATCTTTTATGTGTTTTATGGCATAAATATATTCCTCTCTCATTTTTTGCTGGTCCCGTGGTTTCTCCGTCAACTTCTAATTGTTCTGCTTTTTGGTCATAAAATAGGTGCAAGTATAGACAAATATCTGCTTCTTAAAGTGTACGAATAATCGTGATGCCTTTGACTCGGGCCATTTTTACCGACAAAATGTGGAAAACCAACGAGTGCAAATAATTGTACGATCAACTTACTGATAAGAAATGGAAAGTATACGCAAGTCACGATTATTTGCCAAGTATACGAGTCGTTTGAGTCTGTTTTTAGTCGTACATATTAGGTATGGTAATTGTTATATCTATTTAAAAGTAATTTTATTCTGATCTTTTCTAATAAGTAATGTTTTAAAGTCATATAAGTATATATGCCTAAATGTTTGTCATGCAAAAACTACTCTATATGTTAATTATTAAAACAGAAAAAAATACTACAAAAGCGTTACATATTCATGCACTCTACGCCAATGTTCGCACTACTACCATGCCACCGTGAACATAAAACACCCTAAAGGTCATTATTTCTTACCTCCTCCACGTATTTCGTGTTTATTGGGGACTGTAAAAAAAAGAACATTATTATTTGTATGCTTGTGTCTTTTCAGAAAAAAATAAAAAACCTATTAACACGGTTAGCTTGTCAAAGGAAGTATGAGTTTTTTAGACAGTCAACCTTTGAGGGGAGATTGAATTAACATAATGAGTTCTTTCGTTTGTGACTTTAAAATGATGTACGCAGAAAAAAATGAGCCCTTATCTTTATTTGTTTACTGTAGCAAAATAAAAATTGAAGAAGTATAAACACCTTATATGTAATATATGTAACTTTGTTTAAAATGTTTTCAACTGTAGCTTAAATGAATTTTTTCAAAAAGGTCTCCTAAATTTATGAAATAATTAAACTCATATTTTTAATTTAATGAATTATACCACAAGTCAATTATCGTTGTTATAATTCCCGATGAATAACCCAGTCAAAATAACAAAAAAAAAAATTATGTTGGCGATCATTTTATTTTAAATTGGGACCTTTTGTAAATCGAAGTTTAGTCGAAAAGCGTAACCCATTTAAATATCTTTTTAGGTTCATTTTCAGCCGTTAATCTTAGACTCTGTTACCCCAAAATTGCACCTTCTTCTGCTGGGAAGTTTTTGATAACATATATGATAGTATGCTATCATCATATACACCCCAGTCCACCTGATATCCCGGGCACCTTGAGAGGGCAAGATTTGGGCCTACTATACTTCGCCAGTACTGCTCAGTAATTGGGAGATCAGGCAGCTCTCTGCGTATCGAGAGTGATGTCGATGTACGATCTGGAATCGCCTCTCACAAATATTGACTCCAAACGTGTCTTTAAAACCACTAGATCTAGTGATCCAATCCATTCCAATAACATTTGTCCCCAAGTGTCAGTGATAGGCGAGATCCATTCCACAGATTTTGCGTTGAAGTAGCCAAGCACCACGCACTCATTACCCAGTCGCTTCACCTCTTTTATGGTTACATTTAACCTATTCTTGTACTCTATATTCGGTGAAATATAACAGCAGATTAGATTGAATCTCTCTATTCTCACCGATATATAGCACATATGAACATCAATTCCATATACTCTTAGTTTTACACATACACACCGACGATATCAGCGTCATTCACAAACCAGCCCCAATTCCTGATCAACGTGGTCAGTTTAGGTTGGCAGCCTTGAAAAAGAGTTCACTGAAAAGCCAATAGGTAGCATCACCTGCTACAGTGAGTTTTTAGTTCATTTATTTGCATTTGACGACTATGAAGGAGAAGTAAAAATGGCAGACTGTCCCGACCGGCCAATTCCATGTTCAAGTTTCTGTTAGCATTTTTTCTGATTTTTAATTCTTGAAAAATTCTCATTCAATGATGGAACACTTATCTTAAAGACTTGTTCTTTTTATCTGTAAATAGATAATTATCCTTTTGTCTACATTTTTCAAGCTCTTAACATGGAAACGTTTATGTCGTCTGACGGAGACATTGGGATTTTGGATATATTTTTTTACCGTTTGGATTTGATTATTAAAATATACAATTAGAATTTTTTTCTTCAAATCTATGACATCCTGGTAACATTTTAAAGTGAATACTAATAAAAACAATTAAGCCGATTAATATTTAATGATAATTATTTTTATATGCTATTCTTAACCTGGAATACTTCTTGTAAACCAAATTTACAGTTGGAAATGATAAACTAAACATGTTTTAATTTGTAATATGCATTATACTATTTGCGTATGGTTTTTTACAGATTCTAAGAGGGTTCAAGAATATGTTGACGACCGTTTTGATGGAGATAGATACTTCTGAAAAATAACTCAGATTTTGAACCATGATTTCTAGCACTAGATAATACTCCTAATAGAAATAAATGTTGTAAATCTTTCACTTAATGCGTAGGTGAGCAAGTATATTCCTGAGAGTATTTTCAGAGTTATTTTAGAACAATCAAACAGAACGTATGTGGAAAAAACTAGGAAAGTTCTTTTGGATGGTGTGGAAGATGTAAAAAAGTTTTATGCAGCAAGTTTGACGATGTCTATTATGGGATATCCTTGGATTAGAATGTATTGGGCCCGAAAAACCAAAGCAAAATGTATAAGTAACCTCATGCGAAGGGATAAATATTTTTGTATACGAAAGAATCTGAAGGTTGTGTATGATATTGACATAACGGATAAAGAAAAGAACACCAACAAGTTTTGGAAAGTAGAACCTCTGATCAGGTCAGTTAAAACAGATTGTTTGCTGAATCCAAAGCCTCAAGTAGTAGCTATAGACAAACAAATGATTCCTTTTTTGGAGGCACTGTCCAGCCAGACAAGTAATCAAAATAAAGCCCAATCCATGTGAGTTGAAAAATTTTGTCGTAGCCGCCAGATGGACTGCCACTGGATTTTTTCTTTTACCAGGGAAAAGATGACCCTATAGTTGATAATGAACGTTTCAATCTTCTAGATGTTGGTGGTAAAGCTGTGTTGAAGCTTCTGACGTTTCCTCCTGCGGTTTAAGTTTATATGGATAGATATTTTGATTTTGACCTTCTTTTAGATTTATTACTTCCAGAAAAAGAAGCTACAGGTACTGACACTTTGAAACAATAAGAATACTCAAGAACTCCAAGCTAAGAAGTGATACTGATTTGAAAAAAAAGGTAGGGGGGGAATTGATGAGAGTATAAGATCAGACTGGCACGTGTCTGTTGTAAAATGGTGTGATATTAATGCCGTAATTTTGATGTCAAATAAAGATGGCCCACAACCTGTCGATAAGTGTAGAAGATGCTGTAAAATACAAAAGAGGTTCATTAAGTCAACAGGACTCTGATAGTTAAGGTTTACAATGCCAATATGGGAGGCATTGATTTCTTATACCGAGTGATAAGTTATTACAGAACTTTTGCGCGAACTAGGAAATGGACAGGCAGAGTTATTATGCATAGGTTTGACTTCGCAATTTCAGCATCATGGATCCAATAGCCCATGGTCATCAGGAGAGCTCGGAGGATAGTGATCCATATTATGAGTGCTTGCCCCCTCCTCGGAAGCAACCCAAGGTATCTCACCCTCCAGACTTGGTCCGTAAATAGCACACTTTGCATTAACCAGGAATATCAACCCCAGCCGGTAAGAATATATGCCGAATGCCAGGATGTTTAGTCAACTCAGCCAGAATCAGGTTTTCTACAGGTATTCCTCTGCATTCAAAAAAACGGAAATTGCTTGAAGCTAAACCATGAACTATGACCAGAGCGTCAACTTAGCCAGAATATATGTTCTACATGTCAAGTGTTCCTCTGCCTCCAATAAAACCGAAACAGCATCAAGGTTGTGAATGAACTGACACCAGTGCATTATCTACCAGTTATTTTTTATCATATTTTATTACTTAATAAATGATATAACTAATGTTGTGTATTTAGTTTTCGATGTATTCATAAAAACTCATGGCTATGTTACTCATAAAACATAAATTGCTTTTGAGCATTTTTGATTATCTTGAAACCCAATGTCGCCTATAGGGGACATTGGATTTTAAAGGCTGCCATAAAAAAATTATTATTATTTCCCTTATCTTGATGCCTAATTTCCTGGGACTAAGGAGGTTAATGCACTAGAATTTTTTGAAAGAAAAAAATCGAAACCTGTCTGTTTTAAAAGATAAAAGAACAAGAAGAAGAGATACCAAAAATATTTTAGTCACAAAGTGAGTTAAATATTAAATGAATCACGTACCAAAGAGCGTTTCGGTATCTTATTACAAATCAAGCTAACAAACTTATTACACATTTTGGTCCTTTCAAATTAATGAAATGAGTCCCTTTGTATTAAGCGACATAAGTTTCGGACGAAATAAAAAAGAAGCCCGGCGAAAAAATCAAGATTTACGAGAAATAAAATCTGACTTAAATTAAAAGATACGGGCGCCGGGGTCGCTAGCGAGTAACAATTCTTAATTTCAAGCACCAGATAACCCCGTAAGTCATATCTTGAGACATATTTTTCGCCAGCAAAACGCTGATTTTTATCGTAAGACAGTGGAAAACCGAATAAGGAAAGTTTTAACCGTCGACAGGGCGCATCCAGTCGACTGAGAATTGTCACCCCACGGGCGTATATTCTGTCTTTTTGTCAGACAGTCCAAATTGTAATGCTACAACGAATTTAGGAAAATAGTAAGGTTAAGAAAATTCTATACAAAAGAATATTCAGTCGGTTATTTATATCCGAAAATCAAAGAAACTGTGACACAAAATGTGCTTTTAATTGGATATCCAGAAAAATATAGAAGTATCTAGAAGATACAGAAGTATACTGAAGTATACAGAAGATACAGAAGATAGAAATATACAGAAGTATTTAGATAGAAGTATACAGAAACAGAGATAAGAAACATGGCAGGTTATGAGGTGGTCAGATAATCTAATTACTTAGGCTCCGTTATTACTAACAGTGGAGGATGCGAAGACAAGATAGATCCGTCGATGCATCACAGTGGTTAGACGGGCAACAGAAAAACTCACAAACATTTGGAAGAACACTGACATCACAAAAATCACAAAATTACGCCTTATGCGAGCATTGTTATTTCCTATCGCCACGTATGCTTAAGAAACTTAGACAATAAAAAAGCCGTTTCAAAGCGTGTAATGGCATTGGATATGTGGGTCTATCGTAGAATGTTGCACATACCATGGACCCATCGCACAAATAATTCAATTCTAGCAGAACTTAACATAAAAACTAGACTCATCACAGCTATCAACCAAAATATGCTGAGATATTTTGGACATAAAACTAGAAGGAGAGAAGGCATGGAGCGAACGATAGTTGAAGGTTACGTAGCGGGTTCGAGATCCAGATATGTCTCGAAAAAAATCTCCAGTACGATGGTCGGACCAAATAATGAACATGGTGAATAACATACAGGTTATTCATTCTCCGAAAAAAAAAAACAACATGCACAGAAAAAAGATAATTGGATAATCAAACAAATTAGGTAATGCCACTAGATCCTTA